GGGTGTACACATCTATCAAAATTCATCAAATTGTGCATCTGAAATGTGTGTAGTTTACTGTACAGGAACCATACCACAATAAATGTGTTTTTTAAAAAATAAAGAGGGAGGGTGGGTATAGCTCAGTGGTAGAGTGTGTGCGTAGCATGCATGAAAGTCCTGGGTTCAATCCTCAGTGCTTTCATTAAAAAATAAGTAAATAAATAAACCTAATTACCTGCCCCCATAAACAAGAAACAAATAAATACAATATTTTTAAAAAGAAGAATCAAAAAAGATATAGTATGTTTCCACTTTTATAAAAAATTTAAATATATATATATACACATATGTGTGTATTTGAATAAGTTTGTACAAATACAGAAAACAAACAACAGTTCCCCAGCAAATGTTAATTATCAGTGGCTTCCTCTGGAGTTCAGAATTGCAGAGGAAGGAAGGGGAGGCTATTAACACTTTCTTGCTACGCCAGTTTTGTTTGATTTTGTAAAAGCTTGGCCAAACAAAAGATATATTTACATATTAAGTATGTAACTTCAAAAAAATCAAAAGAGAAAAGATAAATATTGCTAACAGGAAAAAAATTAAAGCAAAGGCCATGAATAATCCATTTACAAAAGTAAGAACACAAATAGCTAAACAAGAAAAAGGCCAAATCTTAGAGTGATCAAATAGCTACACAAATTGAAACAACAATGAGAAGTTTTTTGCCTATCATATTGTAAAAAGTGATAGGAAATAATGACCGAAATGTCCTGGTTCCTGCCTAGGGAGAGGGTAATCATGATGGGGATTAGCAGGAAGGTGGGGACACCCACGCCCCTCACAGCGATGACATGTCCGTCCTGTCCTGCTCCCGGTGCTCTGATAGAGCAGTCCGGAGGACAAGGGGAGATGACAGGACAGAGCCGCCGCTTCCTTCAGCTGCCCCTCCTCCCCATCACGATGACCAACTGCCAGCGTCTTCTGACCCACTGCCCCCCGCCAGGGACACTCTAACCTCATCAGACCTAAATCCCCCTTCTTCTGATAAAACAGTCCTGGATCCTGTGACAAAAACAAAAATGATTGGGAAGGTGCCTGGTGCACACAGACAGTCCCCTACTCCCAAAGGAGTTGCTAAGTTCAGAACACAGAATCCCTGTTAGGGGATCACTGGTCGTCTCTGTGAAGCCTCTGCCTCTTGGCAGAACTGTCCCCAAAGGCTTTATTTTGGTGTGTTTTTTTATGGGAATACACTGCCATACTAGGAAGAGCCATTAGCAGTCAGTCATCTGGTCCAATAGCTCCATTTTATAACGGGAAACTGAGGCATCGGAGGACTTTATGAGAAACCCAAGTCACCCAATTGATAAGATAGTGCTACGACTAAAACCAAGGTCTCTTGACTCCCGGTTCAGTACTATTTCTGCTCAGAATCTTTTTTTTTTTTTTGTGGACTGAATCTATTCTTTATTCCCTGTATATCGAAATCTATTATCTCCTTGGTTGTGGCTAAAAATCTCAGTCTCTGGGGAAGGAGGTGGTCCTGAGATATTATATATTCACAATGGAGATCATATATTTAAAAGGAGAAAAGATACAGTTCTGAGAGTTATAATAAATAGCATTAATAATAAATGGTAAATATCAATCAGTAAGTAATACAGTTAAATCATTTTGCATAATAAAAAATTTAAATAAAATAAAGGTCCCTGATTATTTCACAATATACAGGTGCAAAATATTGTTCATGCACTTGACTCATGCCTTTGTCTTTACAAATATATGTATTTTTATTGAAGTCTAGTCAGTTTACAATGTGTCAATTTCTGGTGTACAGCATAATGCTTCAGTCATACATGAACATACATATATTCATTATCATATTCTTTTTCACCATAGGTACTACAAGATATTGAATATAGTTCCCTGTGCTATACAGTATGAACTTGTTGTTTATCTATTTTATATATATTAGTATCTGCAAATCTTGAACTCTCAATTTATCCCTTCCCACCCCCTTCCACCCTCTCTGTTAACTGTTAAGTTCCTCCTGGAAACCATAAATTTGTTTTCTATGTCTGTGAGTCTGTTTCTGTTTTGTAAATAAGTTTGTCTTTTTTTTTAGATTCCACATATAAGTGATATCATATGTTATTTTTCTTTCTCTTTCTGGCTTACTTCACTTAGAATGATGATCTCTTGATCTATCCATGTTGCTGCAAATGGCATTATTTTATTCTTTTTTATGGCTAAGTAGTATTCCATCATATAAAAATACAAATTCTCTATCCAGTCATCTGTCGACAGACATTAGGGTTGTTTCTCTATCTTGGCTATTGTATATAGTGCTGCTATCACGCCTCTGTCTTTGTTTTACTCAGCCCATCTCCCATGACAAAGAAGTTCTGTCTAGTGAGAGATGGAGGAGAAATGGAAGGAGTACCAGGCAGTGATTCAATCTCTATTTATTACAGAATTCATGTCAAGTACTTACCCAACTGCCTAAAAATGTGTCTTGGTGTTAAGAAGATTCTCTTTTTAAATTCTCAAGAAAAGACTATAAAATTGTGGTTAAGAGTCAGGCTAGGCATACTTTTTTGACCAATAACCAGACAGTAAATGTTTCAGGCTTTGCAAGTCAGGTAGATTGTCCATTTTCTTTTTTTTTTTTTCCTTTCCTTATTTTTTTTTCTTTGTCAAACTTTTTTTTTTTTTGAGAGGGAGAGGTGATTAGTTTTATTTATTTATTTAATGGAGTACTGGGGATTGAACCCAGGACCTCGTGCATGCTAAGCATGTACTCTACCACTAAGTTATGCTCTCCCCCCTTGATAGTCCATTTTCAGTGACTCACTCTGCCTTTTTACCGTAGAAGTAGCCACAGGCAGCCTATAAACAAATGAACATGACCATGTTCCAATAAAACTTTATTTATAGAAACAGGAAGTGGGGCAGATTTGGCCTGTGGGCTGTAATTTGCCAACTCCTGGTTAAAATCTTGAGCTTGGAAGTCAGACTTGTATTGGAATACCAACTCTGCTGCTTCTTCATTTGTGAGACCTTGCGGAACTGGCATAATTATTTAAGCCTCGTCGGTGGAATGAGAATAAAGTTATACCTGGTCAGAGCAGCTACTCAGTGGAACACCATTCAGCTCAGGCATTTGTAGATGCTCAAAAAATAGGAACTAAGATGATCGGACACAGCCCACTGTGCTGGAAGAGACTTGGATTTGATTCTAAATCAATTGCCCCTGCCAGCCACTGAACCTTGGCCAGGCATGTCACTTAACAGCTCCAAACTCTGTTCCCTCCCCCTGGAAAATGGGAAAAGAAATGCATTTATTGCCAGGACCTTTATATGCAATCGTACTTAACTCTCTCAACAACCCTTGTGTTTGTTACTGTCCCCATTTTACAGACAGAAAACTGAGTCACAGAGAGGTGAAGGGCCTTTTAGTGGTAGGAGTCAGGTATTTAAACAGGGACTGTCTGACTTCAGAGGTTGAGACACTTCTTTCCATTCAGTTATGCTGCTTCCCTAGAAAACGGGACGGGGGGTGGGGGAGGTGGCATAACTCAGTGGTGGAGTGCGTGTCTAGCGTGCACGAGGTCCTGGGTTCAGTCTCCAGGACCACCATTAAATAAATAAATAAATAAATAAATAAATAAATAAATAAATAAATAAATAACAAAATTACCTCCCCCCCCAAAAAAAATTTTAAAAAGAAAAGAAAATGAGATGAGAAGAGGCATAGGCTTCCTAAACCTCTCCAGTCTGTACAGCCATGGACTCCTGCATCACCCTTCTGGTACGTGAACCTTCTTCCAACAACCCTACAGTGTCTCCTTCCACATCACAGTACACGGGGGCTCGATACTGCCCTAGACAACCATTTCCTCCTTAATCAGCATTGACTGCAGTAAGATCTTGAATTGAATGGACCTCCACCTCATCACTTCCACTAAGAGGCCAAATTCTCTGAGGACCCCCAACTTTGATCACTCTTCTTCTGCAGGATGCTCTCCCAGGACTGGATGACAGCCTTACACCCTTGGACTCCACAGCCCAGGTCCTGCCATTGCCCTTCCTCCTAGGGGCTATGGCATGGAGGCCCCTGGTCTTCCTGCTGCCCCACCCCGGGACTGCTCTGATGTGTCTATACCCTTGGAAGACCGTGGCGCCCAGAACTGCGTTCCTGCCCAGCGGGCTGAGATGTCACGAAGGTGAGTCAGCTCACACCCATGATAACATCTACACAGCCAGCCTGGGAGGCAGCTGCTCCTTGCACTGAAGGGATGGGTTTGGGACACAGAGGAGCCTATTCTGTCCCGGGGTGGGGAGTGGAGGAACATCAAGAGAAAATGGTCCCCTTTCTGAGAACAAACTTTTGAGAAAGGCGGATCTCAGTCTGACTCTTACAGAAACTGGGCCTTCAGGAACCTGCCTGGACAGGTGGGGTAGGAAGGACTGGCCAGGAAGGGGCATGGCTGTTGTGGAAACAGGCTTTGTGCTTTCTGAAGCTGAGAGGATGAAGAAGGTTGATGATGCCAGTGTCAGTGTTCAGAGGGTTCTGATCTTCCTGACTGCTGGGCAGGGCCCCTGGGCTGGAGCCAGGATCCCTGGATTCTATCCCCAGCTCCGTTGAAAGACTTTTTTGGTGTTGGACCAATCATATCTCCTCTCTGGGCCTCAATGACCCATCTGTGGGATGACGGGCTGGGGGTCCCTCAGCCTCTCAGAGAGACAGCATAGCTCAGGGGAGGAGCTATGAGCTCAGGAGCTCAGAGCTCTGGGGCCAGACAGACCTGTGTGAATCTGGTTCTGCTCTTCCTAGCTGTTTGGCTGCAGGCAAGTTACTTAACCCCCAAACCTTGATTTCCTCATCTATAAAATGGGATAACGATGAAGTTCTCCGTGTGCCTGGTCCTACTCAGTAAATGGGGGTTATGGTGGGAGTTATCTAAGGGCTCAACCACCTCCACATTCTGAGATTCCACAAGTGAGAGTGGGAGACACGGGGTGCATGTCTGGGGCTGGGGTGGGAGGCTGTTGGCAAAACCCTGAGTGACCCCCAGGTCCAGCTTTGAGGGGCCCTGGAACTCTGGCCAACTCTGCACCTGCGTGTGTCCTCCACGATCCTCCCGCCAGGCCTCGGCTCTCTCTGATCTGTCCCTGGTCCAGATGCCTCTTCTGTTCCAACAGTTCAGTCCTGCTCACCCTCCAGGGCTCTGCTCACAAGCCGTCTCCCTCCAGAAGACTTCCCTGACCTCCTCCTCCTCCTCTGACATCTCACATCTTCTCTTTTTGAAACCCATGCTTGGCAGCCTTAGGTTTTGCATTATCTGGTGGGCAGAGCTGAACTGCAGACAGGGCTGATTTATTCACTTGGCATGGTCCTGAGAGCTTGCGATACAGTTAAAGGTCCACAAAAATGTTTTCATATTAATATCTTTTTAAATGAGAAGAAAAATATGAAAATAAGGATCACGACTAGATAACAATGAATTCAGCCTGGACTAACTTCATCTTTATGCCAACACAGTGGTACTTTCAAATAGTTTTTGTTGGAGGAAGGGACTCAGGAAGGCTGAAGTGCCCGAGGCCCACGAAAGTCGGAATGCGGCCTGGACAGCAGGATTCTGTCTGTGCCTCACTGGGCGCCCGGGCCTGGCCCGGATCTCTGCCCAGAACTGCTAGACTGTGAGCTCCATGCAGGCAGAGATGGAGGTCAGTTCTGCTCATCACCTTATTCCCAATGCCTAACACAAGATGGGAGCTTGATAAAATACGTGTGGCAAAGGGATGGCAGTCAGAAGACACGTGTGTGTCTCTCTAACATTCAGACAAGAGTCTTTCCTGCGTACCTTTGTCTCTGCCTGCAGGATGTGCCTGAGCAGCATCAAGCCTGGGCACCTAGAATTATAGACTCATAGGAAGTGAGAGTTGGAACGGGTCATGTACTTATTCCCCAGACATTTCTTGGACACCAGCAATGTCCAGGCTGTGTGTGGGGTCTTGGAGACCAGTGCCAGGGGCTCCTCAGTCAGTCCTCAGAGGGACTTCCAGGGGTGTAAGGACCCCTAAATGTGAAGTGATTTCTTTATTTAGTTTTTTTGAGGGGAGAGGGAGTTAATTAGGTTTATTGATTTCTTTATTTTTAAAGGAGGGACTGGGGATTGAACCCAGGACCTCGTGCAAGCTAAGCATGTGTTCTACCGCTTTAAGCTATACCCTCCCCTAAGGATCCCTGAGTGTGTAAGTAAAATTTGGAATCTGCACCTGTGAAATGCCCTTCCTAGAGAGACACTCTGACATCCGACTGTCAAAAGGCCAGTGTCTCCAAAATGCTGAGGACCACGGGTTCAACTCTATCACCCACCAGGCTCTTTTTAGAGTTGGGGAAACAGGCCTAGGACAAGGAGATGGCTTGTTCAAGGTCACACAACCAGTCAAAGGCAGAGGTGGGCCCCTCTAACCTTGACATCTCCAAGAGAAGACCCCCTCATTCGTTGGCAGGGGTAGACGGAGAAGGGCCAGCAACAAAGCTGATTCTGTGGGTCCCTGGGGTCCAAGAGCCTCTCTTCTGAACCCCCACCCTCCACCACACACACACACACACACACACACACACACACACACACACACACCT